ATGTCTCTCTGCCGCAGCATATGCGCCACAGAACCTACTTGTTTGGTCATTGATCTTATGCCATCTCTGCTTAAGGCTGAGTTGCTCCACTCTCTCACCAGTAGCCTTAGCGTGGGGGTTTGCTGCGTAGTACTGCGTCACTCTGTTCCAGAAGGTCCCAGCGTTTTGATCATTCCCGACAACAGAGTCCTTAGAGGTGTTGAGCCACACACTGATAAGGACCTCGTCATCAGCTGGCGTCCATTTCTTCCCCACCTTACGTACCACTGGTGGGACTACAGGGAGACTTGGAGCGGGAGCTTGTTGAGAACTGAATGGGGGGGGGTTTCCGTTGGCTCCAAGGTTGATACTAGAATGGAAACTTTCAAAATAAAAGTTTCCATGGTTAAGGCTTTGTTGTTGACTGTTTAGAAGGCCAACATAGCCAGGGGACTGACTATATGTGGTCCTTGGATCCATATAAAAAAACAGAGAATGAATTAAAGCAGAAACTTCTCGAGTTTAGGGGTTTTAGCAAAGAGGAGGGGTGATGTTTAGGTTCAAGAATGGTTGGTGTAATATAGATGAGGAAGTTAGTTGTAATAAGTTTTAGTCTTAATGTCTAACCGTAAACCACAAATGTCTTTTCATCAGTTATTACTTCGTACAAAGTTAGCAAAAAGCGTTTAACTAAAAGAGACTTCGTTTCAAACCAACTACACTTCATGTCAACATACGTAACTTATGTAAGTATAACATAAAAGTCGAGCATAGTTGTAAACAAACCAGTAACCGAAACAATCAAACCTGTCTAACCTATCTAACTAAATCAGTAACCAGTTCAGACAAACATAAGTACCTAAGCTATAGCTGTTTCAAAAGCGTAAGACTCTCACCAAAATATTCAAATTCACAGCTCAATTTATGTCAAAATTCAAGTGTATCAGTACACCTACCATTTAACTACTGCTCTTACTACTAAGCCATAGCCTAAAGCATACAGATACTAATCACATACATGAATATTGCTAATCAGACATGAGTATTGTTACTTTACCATTTTAATTAGAAGATAGGATGAATCGAATCAAGAACAATATTAGTCTGGGTTCAAATCAAGAACAATATTAGTCTGGGTCAATGTTAAATTACTGCTTATACAAGAATCAAATCAAGAACAATATTAGTCTGGGTTAAATACTACTTTACCATTTTCAGACATGAGTATTGCTAATCAAAGAACTTACCAACCTCAAACGAAACACTAAAGCACAAAGGATGAATCGAGTCAAACAATTAACCAACCATTTCAAGCAATTATAAATGTTAATCGTTAACAACCTAAACCAAGTAAGCAACGAATTGAGAAGAAGAAACATCATTACAATAATAGATTGATTTTTAATCGGCACAATAAGGAAGAAGAACCACCAAAAAACCAAACTTTACAACATCTGATTCACGATTTGTGTAAACCCTAAACCTACACAGATTTTCAATTAAGATTACACAACCAGCAAACCAAGCATGCAAAACCCATATCAGATAGAAACAAAAACAATAAACGAAGGGAATTTATCGACAAACAAAAAAAAATTGCAGAACTCTTTTTCACAGATGAGATGACGAGTTTACCTGGAGAACTCGCCTAGGGATGATCGATCTTCTAATGGATTACGCCGGCGAAGGATTAGCTTATTTCGTCTTCGACAAATCACGCGAGACAGAGTCGCCGAATCGTCCTCCCTCTGATTTCGTCTAGACGGAAATGAGAAAGAGAGGAGAGAGACGAGACGATCCATATGATTTTGGGTCGAATCCCATCGTGACACGTCGCGTAAAGACGAGCCCATTTTGGACCCAAAAATATAAGAAATTGGCTTGGGGACGGGCGATAAACATGCCCTAAGAGCATGATTATCGCCTCGGGGTCTCACTCACTAGATTAGTAATTTTAGACATCACTGACATGACAACAACAAGATCGTTCCACATTGTAAGGATAAACGTGACTACCTACCCAAAGTATGTATCTACTTCTATCAAATAACCGGAAAGTAATTTAATTTTGGTAAAGTATAGTTGGGAGCAATATATTAGGCCCAGTAATAATTTCAAAAGTTTAGGCCCAAGAAGCATTTAATAGTTTAGCCCAATAATATATTTTCAGACCATAATCTCACTTTAATCCTCCGTCCGTAGCAAACTTTTCTTCGTTTCTCTGCAAGGACCAAAGCGATGATGAACAAATCCGGTGGTGCCGGTGGCGGTAGAGTAACCGAACCGGCGGCCGCTGCAGCCGCCGCTGCCTTACAGAAGCAAAAGGCGTTGTTACAGAGAGTAGAGACTGACATCACATCTGTCGTCGATAACTTCACCCAAATCGTCAATGTCGCGAGGGTAAGTGATACTCTTCCGATTTTCAGACATTGAATTTACCAGAATCCAATCCCAAAGACAGTTCATAAACTCGATTTAAGATTACCACCGTTGTGTTTACGAAATTTCGAAAAATTTCGTCTTCCCTCCTCGGCGGTGTTATTGAGTTGGAACATGTTTGGTTTTTTGTAGGTGAGTGATCTTCCCGTTAAGAACTCTCAGGACGCTTACATGATGGAGATGCGAGCTTCTAGAATGGTAATTAATTAATTAATTCGATTAAATTAGGGTTTATGGCAAAATCTAATGTGCTTAGCTTTTTAATTAAAAGTTAAGAGACGGGTTCATATATTCCGCTAAGAACTCCGCCCGCCGTAAGAATCCCCATTAATCATGCTTTTATGCCTTAATAGTATTTCATTGAGTGGACTTAAGGCTTGTTTTAAGGCTTAATGTGTAGTTTATGTGGATCTGAAGCTCACTGATTTTGAAATGTGTGAATCTCTATCTGTTTGTTTTGCTAGCTTAGATATAATTATTGAGTTTATTAACTGAGTTATTTCATTACTAATGATGTTGGCAGGTTCAAGCAGCTGATTCTATTTTGAAACTCGTATCAGAGCTGAAACAAACAGCTATCTTCTCTGGATTCGCATCACTCAACGATCATGTAGAACAAAGAATCGCAGAGTTTGATCAGGAAGCTGAGAAGACAAATCGATTGTTGGCTAGAATAGGCGATGATGCATCAGCCAGTCTTAAAGAGCTTGAGGCTCACTACTACTCTTCTGCTCAGAGGTTGACTCCAGATATTTAAAAAGGATTTAGCCCAAATCTCTAGTCCACTATGAAAAACTGGTTTTAATGGGCTTTTTAACATCATCTAAGCTTATTTGTATTCCAACTTGTTTCATTCGTGTACGCCATAGCAGAAAGGTAATTCAGATGATTCAACTTGAAAAAGATTAATACTCTCTTTTTTTAAATTCACGACGTGCTCACCAATCATCGTTGACAATGAAAGCTTTTTTGTTATATACGTGACAACAAGTAATGTCGGAATCTAAAATGATAAAGCAAAGTCATTGTTGCTTTAAAGTTTTTGCGTTTCCTATCACGACGTACGTCAGGAAACTCTTTGATCATCTAACTAATCTCGCCGACGATGTTACTAAAGCCCGGAAGCAAGATTGTCTCACCAAAGGTAATCTCTTTACTCAAATTATACGGATATACACGTATCCTATTTACTAGTATTAGATATACATGTTAACATATATCTTATAAGTTATAATTAGATAAGTATTTGGCCTACTTTTGTGTGAATATATATAAACACAACATATCATATCCATAAAATTTTTGCCATTTACAAATTACTCATAAACCTAATGTTCTTTTTTGGTTGCTTGCAGAAGAGTCTTCATCGTGACTCAGCCTCATCGTCATCAAACCATAACTCTCAGCAACAATTGCTCAAAGATATGGAGAAACAATTTGAAGAAAAGACAAAAAAGTTTGAGGAACGTCTAATAAAAACAGAGTCGTCTCTGACCATCAATCTAAACCCCCGTCTTGTACACAGTAACATGAGCTCACGAAGCAACAGCATCGAGAGCACATCATCTAACAAGCCTCACACGGGAGGAGATATCAGGTGGGACGCAGTGAACTATCTGAAATCGAGAGGAGTCAAGCTCGGAATCAGCGATTTCCGCGTCTTGAAACGATTAGGTTATGGAGATATAGGAAGTGTTTATCTCGTTGAGCTTAAAGGAGCACACAAGACGACGTACTTCGCGATGAAAGTTATGGATAGGGCTTCTCTTGTGAGCAGGAACAAGCTGTTGAGAGCTCAGACGGAGAGAGAGATTTTGTCTCAGCTTGATCATCCTTTCTTGCCTACTCTTTACTCTCACTTCGAGACTGATAAGTTCTATTGCTTGGTTATGGAGTTTTGTAGCGGAGGCAATCTTTATTCCTTGCGTCAGAAGCAACCCAACAAGTGTTTTACAGAAGAAGCAGCAAGGTTAGTATAAACTTGTATGATCTAAATATTGGTATAGACATTACTTAGGCACCGTTTAGGAAGCAAATTAGTCATAAACGAAATAATTTTTCTAAACATATAATCGCTTATAAAAAGCTTAGTTATCTAGTAATTTCTTGAATATTGTATTAATGTTCAAGAAACTAAGCAGGCGTTGGCATAGATTATTGATTAGATAATTCATATGAAATTTTTGATTAGGCAGACACCTAAACCAGTTTTTAAATATAAATCGATTTAAAAAGTCATTTCATTTAAGTTGGAGTTGCCGACTATGAAACCATGATTAACTCGAGATTCTTATATTGAGATTATTAGCGGAAATTAAGAAACTATATCTTAATTTTTAATTTAAAATAAAAAAACTAAGAATCATAAGAACGGTTCTTAACTTTTTCTATTAAAAGTTAAGAAATAGTTTCTTAATTTCCGATAAGAAACTCATCCTAATAACTCCGTTTAATAATGTTCTGAGGAAGCCTAGAAATTGCCTAAACTTATTTTTAGAAAGAAAAAAAAACAAAGTATAGAGACCCAACATGTGTTCTGTTTTGTTGCATAACAGGTTCTTTGCATCAGAAGTGTTACTCGCATTAGAATACTTACACATGCTAGGAATCGTATACCGAGACTTAAAGCCAGAGAACGTTCTCGTCCGAGACGACGGTCACATCATGCTCTCCGACTTCGACTTATCTCTCCGTTGCTCAGTCAACCCAACACTCGTAAAATCTCCCTCCGTCCACGTCAGCAGTAGCAGCAAAACCACCACCGGAATCATCAACGACCAAGCAGCGGTCCAAGGATGTTACCAACCATCAACCTTCTTCCCACGAATCCTCCACTCCTCAAAAAAGAACCGAAAGTCAAAATCCGACATCGGCGAGGGATCATTACCAGAACTCATGGCTGAGCCCGCAAACGTGAAATCCATGTCGTTTGTCGGAACACACGAGTACTTAGCTCCGGAGATTATACGCAACGAAGGCCACGGAAGCGCAGTGGACTGGTGGACGTTCGGGATATTTATCTACGAGCTTTTGCACGGAGCGACGCCGTTTAAGGGGCAAGGGAATAAAGCGACGCTTTATAATGTGATAGGACAGCCTCTGAGGTTCCCGGAACATTCTCAGGTGAGTTCTACGGCGAAGGATTTGATCAAAGGTTTGTTGGTGAAAGAGCCGCAGCAGAGGATTGCTTATAAGAGAGGGGCTACGGAGATTAAGCAGCATCCTTTCTTTGAAGGTGTGAACTGGGCGTTGATCCGGGGACAGACGCCGCCGCATGTGCCGGAGCCGGTGGATTTTTCGTGTTATGAGAAGAAGGAGAAGGAGTTTTTGCCGGTGGTGGAGGAAGGAGGGAAGGAGAAGATGGTGTGTGATGATAAAGGTACACGTGGTGGTAGTGATCCTGATTACATTGATTTTGAATATTTTTAGCAACAGCGTTGATCATAATATGTTTTAAGTAACTCTTTTTTTGTTTTACTAATGTAAGATTTATCATATCAACAAAAGACACATTGTTCACAAATGAATTGCAACGATGAAAGTAAAGTGTATTACAGTTTTAGATCCTGTTTTGAGACTTGTCCATATAATCCATACACTAACGTTTAACAATAACATGAATACCGAAGAACTGTGTTTGAGAATAGAAAACAAAGGCAATTAAAACTCCATTATCCAGAAATGCAGAAAGAAAACGGATAGGGGCTAAGCCAAGTTTGTGACATATCCACTGGCTTATGATCTTGTAGCTTTTTCTTGGGACTCTCTCATGATGAAGAACCCACCATGGGCAAGTTTGGTTCCATTGCCCATTCAGTCCAAGATCCATCATAAATTGGCACATCGGTTTTACCCAGACGATGAAGTCCCTGACCAGTAAGAAAAATCAATCTCAGTTTTTTTTTACCATATGGTCACAAAAAAATGAGTGAGTTCTCCATAAGCATATAGTAGTTACCAATGCCAAAATACAAGCTGTTACACCGGTTCCACATGAAGCCATGATTGGACTGTCCAGGGAAATGTCTGCAAAGACACTAAACGGTTGGGAAAAGCCTACCTTAGTGAATGTGTGTTAACAAGATAGACTTTAATTTACCTTCTTCTTCAAACCGTTTCTTAAGCTCCTCTGCTGGTAACAGTATTTGAGAGGAATCAAACATCTGCATAATTATCACATTCTCTGTTGTCAAAACGAAATATATAATACTGTAAGCTCTCCAATTCAGACAGTGGCTTACTTGGGGAAAAGGGACACACTTGCTACCGGGTATGTGACCGCTTGGTATTCCTTTGCGAGGTTCTGGTGCAGTACCATCAAATCTGTGACATAATAAATTTTAGATTAGAATGAAATTCTATTCCAGGATAAGCAACAAATTTGGAAACAAACCTAGCTTTTGCACGTGCATCTATGTGCTGATAAGTCTTATTCTCCATATTTTCCTTGACCTGTTAACTATCCAATTAGCTTGACAAGCAAACTATCTATAAACATCTATTCTATCTATACACTTTGTAACAAGAGTGATAGCTTTGGGATTCCAACCAGTTTGCTAGTCTGCTTCAATTTCACCAAGGATTTGATTAAGAGCAATAAACAGAGTGACCATGTAACAAACTGAGTTTACTATATTGAAGTTTAGGAAACATTAACCTGATCAAGTGTCCATACAAGATGTGGCTGGAACTTCGTCTTGAAAGTTACTGGACTACTCTGTGAAAGCAGGAAAGATGTGAATAAACCATGAGTAAAAGTAAACAGACCGAAAATGCAATTTACATTGGGAAGACATTTCTTTGAATGAAAAAACTTACTGATTGTCCTTGATAAATTTTCTCTACAACCTCACTTGCTGCATTGGCTTTCAAAATGGCATCACTGGAAGCACTAGATTCAACGTCATAACCTGAAGCACGCCATCTGGGTAAGCCTCCATCAAGTACCCATACTTTTTCATGTCCAAAGACTCTGAACATCCTGTTTATAAAAAAGGTTCATTGCTTTGATTCCTATTCAAGAAAAATGTTTTAGCAAAGATAAAAGGCTTAGGGGCATGAGATCTATTACTCACCACCAAACACGAGAGGCACTGAAGATGCCCTTTCCATCATACACAACCACTCCATCTTTGTTCTCGATTCCAAGAGCAGAACAAGCAGCAGCAAAAGCTTCCTCAGACGGCAGCATGTGTGGTAACTATCACATGTAATTCAAATAGTATACAAAAAGTATTGGTGGTTGGTTGTGCATTCATAAGAATGTATAGAAGCTCAAAACCAGAAGCATTGCCAAAAGCTTATGGGGAAAGTTCTAGAGAAAAAGGACATTCACAATCAAAATCAGTTCACAACATTTTCCGCTTTAATATCTGCAATCAAGGGTACTTTCTGGTAAGGTTTCACTTGGACATCAATCACAATGGTGATGTTAATATGAAGTCAACAAGTTATAAATAAACATCATCATGACATCGTCTATAAGTAAAAATGATTGTGATAGCTCACATTAGTTCTTCGATCTGATATTCCATCCAAATCAAAGAAGAGAGCACCTGGAATATGAGCAACCTGCAGAAGAGGGTAACACACAAGCCAATCAACATAAAAGTCGTGTTATCTCTACTGCAGAGTTATTCCTCTCCATACAAAAGTTTCATAGCGCTCATCCAAATTAAAAGTCTTATTTATTTGAGTTATCTACAAAGTGTACAAAGGCCTCACTTGATACTCTTGGATTGGATTTCTTTGCTCATGTGGCATGTACCATGAGGCATCCAAAACCTGACCAAAGAAACAAGTTACATAAGAATCATGGGAGACGACAAAGTCTTGATTTTGAAGAAGTCTACAATCTCAACAAGTGAATACTATAACTATAACAATCCATAAATTAAACTGTTTACCTTTATATCAGCCCCTCTGAGATTAGAGTGGAGCCAATCAACAGAAACAACAGGTTCATTAGTAGACATGGAAGA